GCATAAATCGAATAGAAGCTATACTGTATAGTAAGTAATTATAAATTTACTATAAAATATTTTTTCAAGACAGGTTTTTCCAAACGCGACAGCTTTTTCGCATGACTGTAATATTTTGAAAATATAAATTAATTTATAAATAAATTACTAATTTAGATAAATAATATCTAGTTTTCACTTCTAAAAATCAATAACCTTTGATTATCTTTTCTGCCTCTTTTATAATCGTTTCGTTTTCATATTCAGGCTCTTCTGATAATTCTCCAAAGTACCTCCCAACAACCAAATGTAGCGGATAAATTCTTTCAAGAACTTTCATCATTCCATTTCTAATAAATATATGTTTAACTTTTTTTAATATTCTTTTGTTGATTTTCTTTTTTTCTTGTAACAACTTTTTCATTGTTTTATCGAATTTATGTTGCCTATTATAATTCAACACATTTTCTGTGAATGATACAACCGCTCTTTGATAATTTTGAAAAAGCACTTGTTTTGTCTCTATTTCAAAAAGTACAGTTACTTCTCGAATCTTTTCAAACATGGAAAGAACTTTTGTGGTAACACTCTTTTTATACTTTTTCATATTTAGAATAAGATCATTCAGCATTTGCACATCAGTGTGAAGTACAGTTTCCAATCTTTCGAGAATATTATATGTGTTAATAGTTAGCGGAGTGTTGTAATCAACTGCAGTTAAATCGGGTAAAGATCGATACTTAGGAATAGCGTTTGACAATGAAATCAAGAAGAGTAAAAGCATTGAAACGCTTCTTTTATAACAGATTGTCTAAAAATTGATTAAATGTTTGTAAGATGGTTCCTATCATTATTTTATTTCTTACTGTTTTTATTTTTAGTTTTTCAAAATTTTAGTGTTAGTTAAAAATAATACAAATGGAAACAACCAAAAAACATTTTAAATAAATATCTTCTTTTTCTCGAGGAATATTTTACTTTAAACACCTTAAATAACATTGAACGAAATGCAAAGGGTTTTAGAATCAGGATTGTTTTGAGATTATTTAATATTGTCCACTTTTTTAAAAGTTTATTATGTACATTATATTACAAAAGCAAAAAAGGAAAAAAAACAAAAAACAAAAAATATCGATATATTCCTTTAGAAACAAATCATTTTTTAAACGAGTATGTTATTTCAACCATTAATAAAAATAAACAAAAAAATTATAAATATATTTATGTTGATATTTTTAAATACTAACTTTGTGATTTTGTATGACAGTATATTCATTTTGTTGTATAATATAATTAATATAATTAATACAAATAATTATATTTAAAAATTTTATAAATAAAAACTATTTTATTAATCAAAAAATAATATTGATTTAATTATTGTTTTTGTTAGACAAAATTTAATATAAAATAGTTTATTTTTATTAAAAATTAATTATAAATGTCTTAGATGTGGTAGAATGACCAAACTAAAACACAATTATGTTATTAAACAACCAAATTTGTGACAATATATCATTAATACATTTAAATTTTATTTCAAAGTAATCCTATTTATTTCATATTGAACACCACATTTAATTAAAATTATAATTCAAAGCTAATTTATTTGTTGATATTATTTATTATTTCTAAATAACTTAAATGTATTAAATGAATTGTTTCAGACACCACCAACTTCTAATTTTCAAATTATACAAATAATTACCCTGGACAGAAAAAGATTCCCTTATATCACATGCAGTTTTCATGGTAAACAACATTATACATTATATCATATCAATCTTATTTAAATTTATATTACTGTAAAAAGCATCTATTTGTGGGTTTTCAAACAGAAAAATATATTTATTTGTGGATTTATTGTGGAATTGTGAAGTAAATTCTTTTCACCATTTTATACATAAAAATGAAAGATTTTAAGAATATGAGAATATTTTAATTATCAAACTACAATATTTTTTATTTAAAGTTATTCTTTAAACTAGTGCAACTTTGTTTATAGTATAATTATAGTAAAAAAATTATATGTTTTTTAGAAACAAAACAAGAAAACACAACCAAATTTCTTTAAAACTGTTATTCTAATTAAAATACTATAACTAAACTATAAATAAAGTTGCACAATTTTTCTCAATTAGTTTTTTGGGTTGCACCATTCAACAGTCTCGTGTTTACCGTAATTTTGCAGCAAAAGAGTCTTTGAATCACACGAATTGGCTTGTCTCATTATTTTCTTTTTTATTAACGAGATGTTTAACATCTGCGCCATCCACAATCGATATACAACGCTGTTTTATTCGTTCTGTATGACAATTGGTATTCTGGATTTTTAATGTTTTTTATTAGAACAACCAGTTGAACTTATCATTTAAATATCGAGTTATATTTTATGTTGATTTATAACCTAATTCTACTTTTTGTTATTGTATTTGTTATTGTTGTGAAATAAAGTTTCACCTTTGTTGTGAGTGAAAAACAAAGAAAAAATAAAGTTGCAAACTTATTCGGAATGACTTTAAGTGTATTTAAATTCGACGTTCCAAAGCAAAAAATATATTTGTGAATTTTGCATTTGATTGGTCCATTGACCCACAAATAAATGCTTTTTATTGTATTTCCAATTCCAAAAAGTTGTTTTAAAAACATGAAAAACAAACACCAAAAAAGTAACTTCAACGCACTTAATTAAACATCGCATCAATTTCCTTTCTATACTTTTTGTCGATAGCGTTTCTTCTCAATTTAAGTGCGGCTGTCAAAATTCCGTTTTCAGGGGTCCACTCGTCCTTGACAATAAAGAAGTCTCGAATTTTTTCATGAGACGACAGGCTCGCGTCCACTTCTCTGAATGATTTCATGACCACCTCTTTAAATTCGACTGAATTAATAACTTCTTCCTCTGTGATCTTCTTTACCTTTGCGAACTCTTCAATTGCGGTTTTCGCGATGATGACAAGACCGACTGTGAAGTCACAAAATTGGTTAGCGACGGCGCAGAAATTTTCGACGTACTTTGATGCGTTATACGTCATTTCGAGTTTCTCAAGTGACACGTATTCTCCGCACGCCTGTTTAATCAAGTTCTTCTTTCTGTCTATAATTCTGAGTCTTCCTCCGTCCGATATTTGCGCGATATCTCCCGTCCTGAACCACCCGTCTTCCGTGAATGCCAATTTTGTTTCTTCCGGTCTTTTAAAGTACTCTTTAAAGAGTGATGGTCCTCTCAGTAACAATTCTCCCTGTGGTATTTCGGAGTCTGTGGAATACCCCATTTCCTCCACATCAACCAATTTCGCTTCATAGTGTGGGTATAACACTCCAATGGTGTTATAGAAGTAGTCATGGGGGACCATATTACTCACTGGACCGCACGACTCCGTTAATCCATATCCCTGCATGATATCAACATTCGCCAAAACAACTTGTAAGTACTTCTGGAGGTCGGAGGAGAGGGGTGACCCCCCCATAATCACACACGAAAGTTCCTTCCCGAAGATCTCGTCTTTAATTCTCGTGAAGAGCAAGAAGTCCAACACCTTGACAATCGGCATCACAAGAGCGTAGAAGTGCGGGCGGAAGTGTTTCTCGACGTAAAGTCGCTTTTTGACCTCAAAAGACAATTCAAAGAACGCGCGAAGGACCGTCGACGACTTCCCCATTTTGTCGTCTAACATCTTCTTAATCCGATTGAAGACCGTCGGAACACCATTCATAAAAGTCGGCTGAAACGCGTGGAGATCACACTGACAGTCATACACAAACGCCGGCGTCAAAGTCCTCTGTGAGGAGTACCCCAACGTCCCTCCATTCACAAGTACACAGAACTCAATTGTGAGCTCAAAGATGTGAGCTAAGGGCAAGTAGCAGATATATCGCGTTTTGGGGGTGTAACACATCTTGTGGACGTACGACCACGTGATCGGCAATAAATTCCGTTGGAGGACAACAACCCCCTTTGGACTTTTCGCAGTGCCTGAGGTGTATAAAATCATCGCAACATCTTCAGGTTTTGGTTTGAAATCTTCAACAGGCGGAGAACTCAAAAAGTCGTGCAAATAATAGATCTTTGGAATGGTGGAGTTTGGTGCTATTTTGTCACAAGAAATGATGACAAATTTTTTGTTTTTGTACGCGTCTAAAGATAGAATTTTGTCGTACGTCTCCTCAGACACTAATACCCCCTTGACACTAGTCTCTTCTAAAGCTATGTTAACAGACTCGACTCCTAAAGTGGCATAGACTGTCACTACGACTATCCCACGACATGAACATGCAAGGACAAATGCCATCCACTCGTATCGAGTCTCACAGTAGATGGCTATCTTGTCACCACTTTTAAAGCCAACTTGTGCTAAACCATTGGCGATGCCATGAATCAATGTGTAATATTCACTGTTTGAGAGGTACTTGTAATCACTCATTTTGTATTTGAACATCGTCTTCTCAACAGGTTTACCATCAGAGTCACACTGAACCTTCTTGACCGCAGTCTTGTCGAGAACTTCTCTGTACCCAACTAAATGGGGCTGTGTCTTTGTCGGAAAAGACTCAACAAGTTCATATAAGGTGGTGTACCCCTGGTCGGGTCTGTCTATCAACTCTTCTTTCCCACACAAGTCTCTTCTTACTCGAGTCTCACCAGCCTTTTTCTCTCCAATCCAAACGCCATATAAATCTTTTGAGAGTCTTGGTGGTCGATAGAAATATAGTATTGTCAGGATGACAATAATTATAGATATTGTGACCACAGACAACATCAATTTTTTGGTTAAGTTTTCAGTTTCAGTTTCGATTAGTTATGTATTTTTTCTGTAAATATAATGAAAAGGTCTTAATTATTAATTAATAAATGCCACTACTTTCCTTCTTTTTTCCACTAATTAACACAAAGTTTTTATTTCTTTCCAATTGAATTTTTTATCACAAATAAAACTACGAATTGTCTGCGCCTGATCCTTCCATTTTACTTATAATATTACATTAATAATGTTTGTTATTGTATAGTTTCTTTATACAAGTAAGCAGGGTTTATTGACACGTGATTTTTAGATAGTCATTTATTATTATATAGTTGGCATTTTTATTAGAAACAAATGGTTTTTTATGTGTGAAATGAAAACAAATGATAATCAAAGTGTCAAAAAAGTCCAATTGGACTTTTTTTATGTGGAACTTTAAATTTATTAAAACCTCTTAATTATTTACTAAATTGACAATACCAACTAATAGTTTATAACAACTTTTATTATAGTTTTTCTAAGTACTTTTATGGTTAAATTGTTTATAAAGTTTTTGAAATATCACATAGACAAATGCTTTTTTGAGTTAAATAAATTGTTAACCAACGATTCTTTAATTTGTTTGTTTAAGAAAAAAATGTTTGACAACTTTTTAAATAAAAAAATTAAAATAAAAAATTTAAGGTTATCAATCATTTTGTTATACTTATCTGGTCAGACTTTATGAATTAAAAAACTTAAAGCTTTGTTATTTAAATTTTGTTCTAAAGTTAAACACATAGAACAACTCAACAGTAAGAATTTTTATTGTGAAGCAAAAACGTACCAACAACAATATTTTATTCAAAAAATAAAATAAATAGTGCAGAGTTTTTTTATATAAAGTGACTTCCCAAGGTGTGCAAGTCAAGGTATAGTTCATTTATAATTTTTTTATTAAAAAAATAGAATCATTAATTTTTTGAAATTTTGAAAAAAAAAGATTATTTTTAGTTTAATTATTAATTATAATTTCGAAGTTATTACTAAACTATACTTTAACTTGCACACCTTGTGACGTTGCAATTTTTAACTTTCACACTTCGAATACAATAAATTAAGCAACAATTTCGGGAAAGCGACCCAATGGAAATTATCGAAGGACCAGTTCTGGACAACAGCACACATCGATTTGAGATAATGAACTACACCTTTTAAACAGACTATTTGTTATTGTTTGCTATAAAACGGCACAGAGAAAAACGGAATGTTTATTACACCTTTTCTTGTCGCTTTGAATTACGCTAACACAAGAGACATCGACAATTATTCATGTCTTGAAACAAAACAGTTTTTACATTAAACACATAGACAAACCATAACCCAATTTTTATAATTTAATTTGCTTTTTGTAGTTTATTAATTCAAGCACCAAAGGGTTGTCTGTTTTTTGAAACAATTTGGAAACGAATAACATTTTTTAATAAAATGTTTTTCTACAAAAATTTAGTCTTGCACACCCTTTCCCTGTAAAAAAGACTAATAATTTTAACTTGCACACCTTGGGGAAGTCACTTTATATATACTGATAAAAATGAATATTTAAAATGAAATATTTAAAATTCAAAAAAACATAAATTAGATGTAATTTAATTTGAACACTACTAATTTTATTTTGACATTATGTTAAATTACAATGATTATGACAATATAAGTTAATAAAGTGAATAACCTTATTCAACGAAAAGAAAAAACTAAATTCGAAAAAAATATTATTTACATTTTAAAGAGTTGTTGTACTTTATATAAATTAACTGATACTTTTAATAACAATGACAAAAGAATATTTTGATGTTAGAATATGTTTGTTCTTAATTTTAATAAACGATTTTTTAGTTATTGAACACATTTGAAAATTCACATCTCAGTTAAATGTTATTATAAAACATTATTAACAGTTGTCATTTAAACTCATTATTATAAATAATATTTATTGTATATAACAATTAAACTCCATGACATGAAAATCATTTTACTGTTGTCTCGAGACAAATAAATTATGAAATAAATGACAAATTCTAAAATCTTCAATAAAATATAAATACATTAACTATTATTTATGATTACATCAAAGAATAAATAGTTATAAGTTCAAATCAATTAAATTATTCAATTCTTCTCAGGCGTTTCCAAAATAATTATTGCCGAAAATGTGGTATTATAACGTACGAATTTATAAGAGAAAATGAACATTTTGGTTATTAAATGGTGACGTGGGTAATTAGGACTGATTTTGGAAACTTTTGATTGTTCTGATTTATTGTTTTTAATATAATTTAAAAATAATATATTTTAAAATAAAAATAATAAACTAAATAAGAAAAATAAAAAATCATTTAAATAATTTACAACATATGGAAACATGTACAAAAGATATACAACAAGGAAATCCAACTCATTTGAGCAAACGAGATATCGACTATGAAGATTATTATAGACTGGGTATTCCAAAAGTAGAAGCTATAAAACCAGATACTATAGAAAAGGCTGAAAGTCTTTTTTATGAATTAAAGTCATTTTAATTTCCTTATCAATTTATTTACCTTTTAAGTTTTATTCAGTTACAATAATTACACTATAAAATTTGTTATTCTAAAATATTCAAAAGTTCGAGTTTTAAATATAAAAGAAATAAATAAAATCATGTATCAAATGATTGATAAAAAAACAATTATAGTATTATAAATAAAAAATGATCTATCATTTTAATTGTATAAATTAATAACATTTGTAACTATTATTATCTTATAAATTTTAAATAATAAATTAATAACAAATTAATAACAAATTTATAGTTGTACTTAAAATTATTAATGTTTTTTTATTAAGTATAGTTATGAGTAGTTTATAATAATTTATTATTAATTTTAGTAATAGTTAAAACCTAAATATTTTCATGACCAAAATTATTTAATTATAAATATATTATTATATATATTAAATGATTAACAATAAAATTATTTTATTATTTTAGTTAATTATATTATTATATATTATGCAATTTTATATATATATAAACTATAAATTCTTAAATTAAAAATTATTATTTATTGACTGATAAAAATTAATTAATATTTTATTATATAAAACTAAAAATTAAATATTAAATATTCTAATAAAAATTATAATTAAATATAATTCAATTTCATCAATTAATGAGCAACATTCAAACCTAAAACGAAAACAAAAAAATACCAATTTCAAACTGCAAAAATGGCGAGTGAAAATCCTTTGAACTTTTTTGAAGTGAAAATTGTTGGTCTCGACCATTCAGTGACTGACGAAGCGATCAAAGCTATCTGTGACGAGTTTCAACCGTATGATTACAAAATATCGCGCTATTCTAACGATCAAAAGCAGAGTAATTGCATCATAGAAGCGCCAACCAAAGAAGTTGCGAGTGAGATCTTTAAAAAGAAAAACAAAAGTGAGTGGAATGGAGTTCCCGTGTATTTTAAATTAGATAAGAAAGATAAAACGAAG